TGAAAATCAACTTATCGCCATGGCCCTATATCGACTTTTCTATCCATGGATCACCTACACACACAAACTAGATGATTCCACATTTGTTGCGAAATTGGTTGCAAAAGTTTCAATGAGATTTAGTTTTATGGAGTACGTGGCATAATAATAGGTGAACTGAAAATTAAAATACACATGGTTTATTTTATAACTCTATAATACTTACTTGAATATAATTAGCATAAGAGAATTAATAGACTTTTGCCACGCACAGTTGCAAGTTGAGGTATGCTTTTTCTTATGTATAATTGCTTGTTGAGAGAAATTTAATTATCCGTGGAGATCACCTCTCACCTAAATCAAAATCTTACTTGCATTTTCTACTCATAGTCAAATTAATTAAATCTTACCAAAATCTAGAGCAAGATGGGTGTAAGATTTATGTCGGACATGATTGATATTGAACCACTGGAATATGAAGCCCCTTGCACCGGCACACACACAATTAGCTAGTACTCCCTTCGTCCGAAATTACTTGTCACTTAAATAGATCTATCAATAGATGTATGTAATACTAAATGCTAGGTACATCCATTTGAGCGACAAGTAATTCTGGACGGAGGGAGTAGCAGAATAGAATGAACAGACCTTCTACCCGTGGACCAGATCACTAATCAATTTGGGTTGGGGTCTATCTACCACATACAATTATTTGGATGGGGGGGCTTTACTTTACATCTGTGTTTGTTTCTATGTTTGTGTGTATTAATTGGGCGCCAGTGCCACTAGCGCGGCCAGGCAGCTAGATTTGTGTTGCGTAGCGGGTGGCCTTGTGCGCTCCACATCCCTCCAAAAGAGCCTCCTCGCTCTTCACATTTTCATCATCATCTTCTTCCCAACAGGCAATGCATATTCATCTTTTCTCTCTCTCTAGTTAATCAATCAACTCAAATTATCTAATGGATGGATTCCCCTCCGGCTGGCTCGGCTGCTCCTAACCCGCTACGCTCCAAAACTTCTCCCCCTATATATACAGCTCCTTGTACTTCTCTCGTTCTTACACTCACTCCTCAATCCATCCGTCTCCACCATTGCTCGCTAGCTCGAGCTCCTAGCTAGTACTGCAAAGTCAGCCGGGGAGTTGATTTGGTCCTTCTTGGCTTGCTTGACCGATCGTACGTGCCGCCAGGATGCCGACGCCGTCGCACCTGAGCAAGGACCCGCGCTACTTCGACTTCCGGGCGGCGCGGCGGGTGCCGGAGACGCACGCGTGGCCCGGGCTGCACGACCACCCCGTGGTGGACGGCAGCGGCGCGGGCGGAGGGCCGGACGCGGTGCCGGTGGTGGACATGCGCGACCCGTGCGCGGCGGAGGCGGTGGCGCTGGCGGCGCAGGACTGGGGCGCCTTCCTCCTGGAGGGCCACGGCGTCCCGTTGGAGCTGCTGGCCGGCGTGGAGGCCGCGATCGGGGGCATGTTCGCGCTGCCGGCGTCGGAGAAGATGCGCGCCGTGCGGCGGCCCGGCGACTCGTGCGGCTACGGGTCGCCGCCCATCTCCTCCTTCTTCTCCAAGTGCATGTGGTCCGAGGGCTACACCTTCTCCCCGGCCAACCTCCGCTCCGACCTCCGCAAGCTCTGGCCCAAGGCCGGCCATGACTACCGCCACTTCTGGTACGTACGCCGGCCGCCGATGCGCGCACCAGACGTCATAGTACGGCACCTACCTAACTGGCTCTGGCCAACCGTCCGTACACACGTGACGGGGCGACGTGTCCGACTCCGACCATGCATGCATGCACGCGCGCGAAACTTGTTGCTCCTGTTCTGCTATGGCAGCAGCTAGCCGTGCGTGTCCGTGCGTAGTACTCCTACTTACCTTACACAGTTACACTTACGCCGTCCGTCGTGTTCCTCGACGTGCAGCGCCGTGATGGAGGAGTTCCACAGGGAGATGCGCGCGCTGGCCGACAAGCTGCTGGAGCTGTTCCTGGTGGCCCTCGGGCTCACCGGCGAGCAGGTCGCCGCCGTCGAGTCCGAGCACAAGATCGCCGAGACCATGACCGCCACAATGCACCTCAACTGGTACGTTCTACTACTACTCCAGTACGTAGTACAAGCACAATAGAATACAAATGGCAGCAGCTACGACGACACGTACTCCACCATGCAGCAAAACATATATTGTCGGTGCGGCGGTTGACACGGAGTTGTGTCGTGTCGTTGATTCACAGGTACCCCAAGTGCCCGGACCCGAAGCGGGCGCTGGGCCTGATCGCGCACACGGACTCGGGCTTCTTCACCTTCGTGCTGCAGAGCCTGGTGCCCGGGCTGCAGCTGTTCCGGCACGGGCCCGACCGGTGGGTGACGGTGCCCGCCGTGCCGGGGGCCATGGTCGTCAACGTCGGCGACCTCTTCCAGATCCTCACCAACGGCCGCTTCCACAGCGTCTACCACCGCGCCGTCGTCAACCGGGACAGCGACCGGATATCGCTCGGCTACTTCCTCGGCCCGCCCGCCCACGTCAAGGTGGCGCCGCTCAGGGAGGCCCTCGCCGGCACGCCCGCCGCCTACCGGGCCGTCACGTGGCCCGAGTACATGGGCGTGCGCAAGAAGGCCTTCACCACCGGTGCCTCCGCGCTCAAGATGGTCGCCATCTCCACCGACAACGATGCCGCCAACGACACGGACGACCTGATCTCGTCGTAGATCGGCGCCGGCCATCACCGGCCGGCCAAGGGATCGAGGTAGCTAGGAGGAAGGGCGCGCGCGCGTGCGGCTGTCGTTCGTGTTTAAGGTTTCCTCCATATATGTCTCCATGCAGAATTGCAGATGATGCTGGTGGATGCGTGCGTCCATGCAGCAGCGAACGAACTAACTGTAAGAAAACCGAACTTAGTTCGACATCTGCATCTAAGCATGCCACTTGGTTTAATTCAATTCAAGTGCAGAAACTAAAGATTATGATGGGAAAGAAGAAGACATGTTGGGTTTGTTTCTTCTAGCTGCTGCCTGCCCCCCTGACCAAACGCTTGTTTTGTTATAAGTGATCAGAACTAGATTACTGGTTAACTAATTGGCCAGGCAATTTGTCCTTTAGCAAGTTTGTCATTTGGCACGATAGCTTAGCGAACCAGGCTGGTCAAATGATAGGAGAGGCGGATGATAGCAAACATGGTATTGTACTGGTAATGTGCATGCATGTGCATGTACATGTACATGTACATATACAGGCAGGCAAGCGAAATGGGGAAGCACCCAGCAGTGGACACGCATATTATTCCTCTGGAGGAATAGGCCACGGATGTGCAGGTGCAGTAGGACACACCTGGCTTGTACTGTTGTACATGGAATGGCTGCCTGTACATGCATGCATGCCCTCCATGCAGCAAGGAACACAAGCAACCAAATGGAGCAGACCATCCACAGGATCACATACATCTATATATGCACACTTTTCATACATGCGTGTATATAGTGGGGTAGTGCCACCAGCCTACCAGGGTGTTGGTCCTGCTCTGGTCTGCAAGGTGAAGAGGATGCAATGCGCCAAGGGAGCTGCTTGTCCTGCATTCTGCC